TGCCTCTCCCCCTTTTCCTGGGTAAGTTCTTGGATCCACCTGAGCATATAAAACACTGTAGAGATACACTTTCTGTGTACTTATAGTAACTTATAGTAACTGGCTCGCGCTGCCAGTAATTACGCCGCGGGATATTCAGGGCACAGACCACGATCATAAGACATACCACGAATAGAAAATAGAATTTAGAAAATAGATATTGCATGTGAATGAAGCCTTTGTTTTTGTCAAATAGAGATATTTTTGTATGCCCAATACTTGAATAAATCCTTTTTTATGGCTAAGTCTTAATTAGTGATACAAATACAATGAAAAGTGGCATATTTACCAGTTGAAAGCATTCACCCTTGTAAAGCTGTTTCTATTTGATAAGGTATCGAGACCATTTATTTTTGCTTTGGAAATGTTGACAAATGGTTTGTAAAAAAGAGCTGGTAGACATTTTTAAGCTATGAGAGAATGAGCTCTATTTCCCCTCATCTCTGATCACATTCTTGATTTCAGTGTAAGGGCAATTACCCAAAGTCTCTGGCATTTGACACATGCATACAACTGTTAGTAAAAGGTTTAGATGTTTTGCAATACTAAGAGGAATTGTAGCAATTTCCGACAGATTTTGTCTGTGATAGTGACTTATATTTTCATGGTTACCGAGTATGGTTACACATTTAACTGCTGTGTATTATCATGGAAAGTATTGTGATGTAACTGAAGGGTAAACAAGTTCTTTAGTATGGAGAAGTTAAGTTTTCAATTTTCCTCAGCAGAATGGCCTGTTAAATCAATTTTTTTTATAATTTTTAAAACAGTGTTCTGTTGTTGCCATATAGTGTTTAGATATGAAGAAGAAAAGATACAAAGTAAACATTGACATAATGACTGTCGAAAAAAAAAAGATTAAAGAGGTGTGTGACCTTGTGGCCACGATTTCCTTCTGCTGATGTGGAGGGCTTCTTTGAGATCACTTGATGAAGCAGATTTTTTTGGATTTGGCTCAATGTATAATTTTTCATCAAATCTAGGTGAAATTCCCTAAAAATATTATATTACTTTAAAAATGGAGGCGCATTCCTGTATAGAGGTTTTCCAGTATTCAGAAGATATTGAAGGGGTGAACTATACCACACTGTTGCAAAATTCCTATCTGCCAGACTTTGACATTTTTGTCATCCACTCCTTTGCAGATCAGATAATTGTTTCTTTCTCTAGGTCTTTCTTAGGGTTAGATATAATCAGGCATGCTTCTTATTAGGTTTTGCTATACAAAGTTTACTCATAAAATTCAAGGAAATTGATTTCTTTCCCAGAATTATTTTATTTGGGTTACCTAAAAAAATTAATAGAGAAAAATGTACAAGTCCGAAAGTTACGCATTTTATGAGCAGCTGCCCTTTTTATTGATGAAAACTCTTTTATCATGCACTTTTCTCTCTTTATTTTTTTAATAGATGAAAATGCTTTTATGTCTGATACTCTCACCCCCTTTATTGATCATCTTGCTCTTCTGTCTTATACTCTTACCCCCTTATATTGATGAATGCACTATATATCTTACCCCGTAGTGCCTAGGCAATGTCGCAGGGATCAGTTCCGCTGTAGTAACGGTGCATGCATCGATGAGAACAAGCGTTGTGACAGGAAGTTGGACTGCCAAGATGGGACAGATGAACTTGGCTGTCGTAAGTGTCCTCGCACATGTTCACGTTGGAATTTAGGGACTTGGTATTCATTTCACATCAGTTTTCGTGTCACATAGAATAGAATTTCCTACTTCACTGATTAACCTTTTGTACAAAATTCATTCATTGTGTTTGTTTTTGGCCAAATGGTTGAATTATAGCCTAATTTGTGCAATAATTTTGAAAGTTAAGAGCATTCCCAGCAAGATTTCACTTAATTCATATTACACATAGGTAGTCTCTGCATTGAAAATTTTCACTTTTAGAAGCATGAAAGCTGAGTAATGTCACATTCAGCCTTTTGTCAGTTAGATGGAAAAATTGAACCAGTTTCAGTAGAACTGCCAGAGATTCTTAGATAATTAAAAATTGGCATGTTGCACCTTGATAATTTCATTTTGTAAGTATTGTAAATTGTGTATGTATCTTGTATACAAATCTCCCGCCATATGGATGCAGAGGAGTTCAAAATTATATTTTCATCCACCTCTCAACTTTTCTATACGTGCACTTTCTATAAAGAAACTTATTTCAAATTCTCATGGAAGAAAATGGAAAATTTAATTGTGTTTATTGGGAACAGTATTTGTGGTCCTGCTTTATTTGTAAAGTTTCCAAACAACCCATGCCATCTGCAGCATTCTGTGTCCTGTACAAATTTTCTAAATGCCCCAAGATATTATTTTCATTTTGACATGTTTTCAAAATGGAATTGAACAAAGAACTCATCCTCATTTGGAGTACATAATGAGTAAAATTTTATAAACATTCAATAAACATATGGAAATGGTCTCTACACCTTCAATAAAATTCTTTGAAAATGTACGCAAGATATTGAGTAAATATTTAGAAAGTGATATTTGAGGGCAGTGTCTGATCACTTTAGAACATCTGCATCTGATCACTAGAGTGTTCGTTTGAAGGTGGAACTGCAGAAGGCACATCTGTCACTGAGAAATATTTATATCCACTCTTCATCTTTTAAATTTTATTTCGCTACTAAATTTTGAATAAAAGATACCATTTGAAATGCTGTTCATATATCTGCAATAAACTGGCCATGCCATTACTGTCACTACCACTTTCTTGTCATATAGGTTATACTTTTGGTAAAAAATTGCAATAAAGGTGTGCTTAGTCCCACTTGTTACTTAAAAAGTGAAATGGAAAGCTAAATTGTGAAGAAGAAGGTGCTCGTGTAGAAGTATAAGTTCATCAAAAAGAAAAATTCAAAAAACATTTGGCACAACAAGTACCTCTGAATTAGCAAACAGCAGCTTCAAATAATTGCATCAAACACATGCCATTTAATTGGTATCTTTTTATGATGATTAATGTACTGATCTCCCATCACATATCCCTGAGGACACTTCCCCCCACACACGCACATTCCTCTTTCACCCGGCACCGTTTCAGAGTCAATACCTTGTAGATCTGGAGAGTGGCGCTGTGAGAACGGCAATTGTATACCAGAGGCAAAACGTTGTGACGGAACGCGAGATTGCCCTGATAACACTGATGAGTTAGACTGTCGTAAGTGGATGTTTATTGCGATATCCTTTCCTTATCCTTCTCTCCTGTTTATAGCTCGTACCTTATTACCCAGAAGGCATTGCTTTATGTCAGTAACCAAACATGCACCAATCTTATGGTTTATCATTTTATCCACAATGCACCTTGTTTCCCATAATGCAACTTGTTACCCATCATGCACAGCATTACCTAGTGCACCCTTTTCTCACTGTGCTCCCACTTACTACATTTATCTCATACAGGCATGCACCTTCCCTGGTAAAAATATAATGGACATTAAATTTTTTTATGAATTTATGAAACAAAGGACCTGCCCTGCACTACATGTTAACTATTAACTTTACTATGGGTTGCCAACTTTTTTAAATTACTATATATTAAATATATAATTTATACTAAATATGATCAGTATATGATAACTTTTAAAATAGTAAAAAAGAACATAAGTAAGCTATGAAGTGTGTAGAACAGTGTAAAGGCATACCTAGAGTTTGCAACCCTGACTGCAAGATGTCCTAGACTGTTACAACTGTGTGTTGCAAGCATAAGTTGGTGGCAATGGATGTTTTTTTTTGTAAGCGCAAGGTGATGGGTTCAGAAGCAGGCCTCAAACGGAAATTGCTGTACATTGTATGCTACCAAGAGCCTTACATTTGGGAACACAAATGCCCAAATTAATAGTTCGAATTAAGTACCCGAATATAAAATTAATAGCCACGAACACAGCTTCAGAGCAGTTTCTGTGTCAGAACGCTGTGTTCCTGGCTACTAATTGGGTACTTAATTTGTGGTTTTAGTTGTTAATTTGGGCATTTGTGCTCACAAATCTGAGGCTCGAATTCACAAATGCCTAATCGGTATTGTCTAGACTGCTATACCTTGTTTAAGTCTTGGTGGTGTTGGTGGCGGATGCTTTATTAACATGGAAGCTTTTGAATAACCTACCAGTTCCAATTTTTGAACCATGCAAGTGTAATTGACAGATATAGTCAAACATCAGTTTATAGATTATTGTTGGTCAGAATTAGAATATTTTGCAATTGTTCAGTCTGATGAAGTCTTAACAACTATTATATATCTTTGTTGATGTGTGTTGTAAATACCAGCAATGTACACATTTTCATTACAAAAAGATGGTAAAATGCCATTATTATTATTACTATTATTATTATTATTACTATTATTAAACTAATTCTTATAACTTCAATATTTTGAAAACTAAAAATTGTCCTTTTATTCTTATGGAAACATATATCTAATATGCTGCAATTATGAAAACATATCTACTATATATGTGACAATGCAGATCTTGCTTCTTTTCCCTTTGGCTTCCTTACTGTGGTTTTGGACTGCTGGTAGTTTCTCTCATTATGATTGTTGTGTGTCACAGTTGGAAATCGCTGATAAAACAACTTGGTTTTATAACACTGACTCTAATGGGTCATGCTCACAGCCAGTCATATGTTTGAGTGTTTTCATTAAATGCTTTGATGATTGTTTTTTCTCAGTTTCTTTTCTGAATGTTTTTAATGCCTCAAGCTCTTGAAATATTTGAATGTGTGATTCAGATATGTTCCTTGCTAACAAATCTTAATGGGATTTTTTTCTTTGGACTTGCTTTATTGACTTCATTATTATGCCTTGAGTCATAGGTAAAAAATATTGGCATAGAATTATTGATGCTGTCATAGCCACTGCTTCAAGTTCATAATGAAAGCACAAAATACCAAATTCCACATGTGGATTCCTTTGACGCAAATGTAATTGTGCTTTCTATACAAAACAGGTTGTAATTTGCAAATAAAACAAAGTTGCAGTTTTAAAATCGTAACAGGAACAATGAATATGGATGATACTGGCACTCTCAATTCAAACTTCTGTTCAAACTAACTGTGAGTAAAATGTTAGCTTTATAAAATATTTATATATTATTATTATTATATTATAGTTAATGGTTAGTATGATTTAAAAATATGGTAACTTTTTATAATTCCAGCATTGCGACCATGTGGTGCAAACCAGTTCACGTGTACGTCTGGACAATGCATTCGTTCAAGCCAGCGTTGCGACAGGCGAAGGGACTGTCAGGACGGATCAGATGAAGTTAACTGTCGTATGTATTTATATGTGTGTGTGTGTGTGTGTGTGTGTGTGTGTGTACAAGTATGCTTTAGTGAGTGTGTACATTACATGTATGTTGAAATGTGGTTCCAACCTTTTGTATAAAGAAATTTTGGTCAAAATTTATAAGCACATGTACTGGCAGCTTGAATTAAATGTTTTATAACACATTAGGTCTTTTCCATTCCTAACATTTTGCTAAATTTCTTTCGAGCAACACCTATTTCAGTTTCATTTTCTTGTTAAATTGTGAAATTTTTTTAATGGTGTTAGTTTTAATCCTACTTTATAGAGTTGATATGGTTTTAATATGAATATTATCCTTGGAAATAGTGGTGCATCTTACAGTTTTGGTTCCAATTGTTTAAAACATTCCTTTTTTAAGTTGTCTGTTTCTATACATTCATAAATTTTAAGTTTTTTCTTGCCCTTCCCATATACTTAAGAATAGTTCAACTTAAGTATTTTTGTTCACTTTAAATGTAGCAGTAAAATTGTAGTAGTATTATTTCCACCTTGTTTCCAATTTTTCCTCTTTCAAATTATTCTATTTTCCAACCCAATTTCTACTGTCTTTTGGATGTCTGCCATTTAACAATGTCCACTAGTTGTCTCTGATTAAAAAATGCTTGCTTGGGCTTGGGATATATTCACAGAAATGCAGCAAATATTGCTTGCTTTGCTATTGGTTCAAATTAATACATGTATTTTTACACACATTCACAAATATTGACAGATAAAACTTTGTTGTATTTTGCTTTTTATTCAGTAAGTTAGAGCACAAGCTTTTTTTTGGTAACAGTATTGAATTATTTTTGTAACAGTATAAATTGCAGACTTAAGTTTGACAATGTCAAATATATTATAATTTGTGCTTTGGATGTAAGCGTATGTTTCATTTATAAAAATCAATGTCACTCTGTGAAGTATATTTATATAGAAAGCCCAACATAGCAACATGGAATCACTCTAAAACATTTGCATTATATTAATGTTTGGATAAAAGTCTTATGCAAGTAATTGTCTGAAAGTTAAATTCATTTTGGTGAATTGTAAACAGATCTGTTGCAAAATAGATTGATTATTGCATATGATAAACAAATACATTAAAATTGAATTCAACCAAAATAATTACAATATTGCAAACATTGTTTGAGTGAGACCAAATTATAGTACTGACTTTTACTTACTTAGTATCACAACATTGTCCATATATCTTGGCTGCAGTACACACCGCCTCTGAGAAAGCGTAAAGCATGTGGGTGTGAGATTGCAGAATAAAATGGGCAATATTGTACTCTATTTACTACTGCATCCTGTTCTACTACAATTGACAGCCTTCTGCCTGCCGGGAGAGTATCGCTGCCGGAATGGTCAGTGTGTTCCACGGAACAGTCGTTGCGACAGAAGATACGATTGTTCTGACCGCTCTGACGAGTTGAATTGTCGTAAGTGAGGGTGAACGAATGACCTTTAGTTGAACCTTTATCATAAAGTTTTATGATTTATATATTTGAGAATATTCTTCAGCTTAGTTGATTTTCATTCCGTTCTCCATTTCATTTTCATTTCAAATTGGCTGTAGGTTTGTGAAATTTTGAAATTCGTAATATCTTTATGTAATAGGTTCAACTAAATATTTTGTTCCCTTCATATATTTCATGATTATCAATGTCACAGTTGTAACGTCTTATTAAAAATTGAAGTCTTTGGAAAATTGAATGAAAAAAAGGAAAATATTCACAGATAGCTTTCTTAAGTTCAATCTAACATAACAAATAATAATGTTTATAACAAATAATTATGTTGTAACCGTTTTGTCCAGAATGTTGTCCTGTTGTGAACCTTAATCTGTCTCTATGTGAATCTCATTCTTAATATTCTGTGTAGAATTTAGATATTCGAAAATGAAAAACCTGCATGACAATTTTATTATTCTCCATTGTAATTCTTATAGAAACCCCAAACATTCTAATAAATTGTGCTTCAAAACTCATCTCATGGTAAATAAATATAATATTGAAAAAAAAATATGTATTTGCAAACAATTACTTGGAAATAATTGCTAAGTTTAAAGAAGACTACATTTTTTAACCAGAAATGGGACATACTTTGCCTTACTAGCTAGGCCTCTTACTGGTCAGTAATAGTTATATTTTTGAATGACGAATTTGAATTAGAGAAAAAAAGTATGAAAAATGTGTTTGTAAAGAAACCCACGTACCAAAACCTAAAACAGTTGCATCACAGTTGCAGTGCAATTTAATTGTCGGTGAGCCCATAAACAATATTTCTAGGTACCTACTTCTACAGATTAAGAGAGCGTTCAGATAAAGCCATCATACTAGTTGGAACGATCCAACTCTGTGGGATATTCTCCCTAAATGTAATCACTGTTATCAGCTTAAAAGTCTGACATGCCTCCTCAAGTTTCAATGGGGTTATTAACTAGCTACTCAAAGGCGTGTCATACAATTAAGATGATTACACTGAATGCACTTAAGCAAGAATCCTCCACAGAATTGGATCGATCCTGCTGGTATGATGTTTCAATCTGAATGTGGTCTAAGTGTCCTACTCAACTCCATACTCTGTATCCTGCATGTAATCTCATACATCTTTCAGTTATGCAATATCTTTTTTAAGTTAAAACTTTACCTGAGACTGAAAACTTTTTAGTTTAAACTATACCTGAGACTGGAAACTTTTTTGTTAAAACTATACCTGACACTGGAAAGTTTTTTTATCTTTTCTAATAATAATTCCATATTTATCAGTCAATTTTTTCCACAATGGTTGAAAAAACATCTTGTGAACATGATCATGTTTTAATTCCTTTTTCATATTAATTTGTTGATTTTTTATGAATTCAGGAAAATATTATATTAGTTTAATGACTTTTATTTTTCATTTAAAAATGCAGGATAGGTAGTTAACCTCTATCCAAGAATTGTATTGCAACACATCTGCCCAAATGCTCTCAAACATTCACCTTAGTTAGATTTAATACATTAAATTATATCATGGATGAACTGAAAGCTTCATGATGCCCAAAGTAACATGTAACCAGTGTATGTGAGCTTTCCATGTGCCATGAATGCAGGTTAAGCAAAACCTTCCAAATCACATTTTATTTCAGCAGACGCCATCTCACTTTGTAACTATAGGGGGCATTATGTACAAGATAAGACTGATAATGATATAAGGGATTTATTTATTTTAAATGGGAACACCCTGTGTGACAAAGCAAAATTTAATAAAGATATAAAGAGAAAGAAAAGAAAAATTAATAAGATGAAATTAAAATGTATTATTCAGAAGTATCTTCTCTTCTACAATGAATTTCTAATTTTTTGTCAACTATACCAAATTTAATTGTTTACAAATCCAAAGAAACCTCTTTCTGTAATAATGCTGCAGGTAGGAGTTGGTCTCATCTTGTATCACTAATGCATCATGGGATTTCCTCCCATTCTAGTCTCATGTTGAGTTGCCAAAGATCACCATTGGAACAACAGTTGTTGTTTTTTTAATATAGCAATTTTTTATAAACGTCACCTTTCAGCTGTTCCAACTGTAGTGACCGTGTCACCAAGACAGCTGCAGATCTTGGAGGGCAGGGATGCTGTGTTCCAGTGCGTGGCGACAGGAAACCCTCCACCACCAGTCAGGTGGTTCAAGGCAGGCAGTCAGGTATACAGAACGCTTGGAAACATAAAACAAGTTCCTGAATAGTTTATACTGTTACACATCTTTTTATTATAGATTAGAGGTGCTTGAATATAATGTGGACTTCTGTTGGTTATTGATGCATCATTTGCTTGCACACATATTATGTGATACTGTGAGGAAGTCCTCAAAATAAGTCCATATTGCAGTGACATTTTTGTTAATTGCAATTGTATTTTGTAATTTTATAAAAGCCGAAAATAAAGTCTTGTTTGTTTTTCAAACCCATTGGCGACTGTTGTTCCAGGCTCTTCCCTTCAAGGCGTCAGACAACCGTGGTAGGCTGACCATACAGGGTGCTCGCGTGGAAGATTCTGGGGTTTACGAGTGTCAAGCTTTAGGTACCGGTGGCACTTTCCAAGCCACTGCACGTTTGATAGTATCAAGTATGTTATTGTTATTTCATTAATTTAATTGACCTTTTTATTTGAATTAAACTATGACAAGTATAAAAATTACGGAAATTAGTTCATGCAGTAAATAATTTCATTGGCAGCAATTATCCACACATTTACTGTTATATATCAAACTATGTCCAAATCATAGTTATATTTACTAGAGTGCTTAAATTCTTGTCTAAATCACTTTAATTGTGGAAATAACCAGCACTGCATGAGAAATGAAGATTAATTGCAAGAGTTTGACTATAAATAATAGTTTTAACTAAAATAGGCTAAATAACCTCCTTTTTGTAGACATCTTACAATTATCATTCGGTCAGTATATAATAGTGCTGAAATAAGTCATACTGACCTTCATGGCCATTGTTTTACCTTAGGAGGACAGCCGGTCACTCCAGGGCCAGTGGGTCCTTGTGGACCTGGTCGGTTCCAGTGTTTGGACCGTGAGAAATGTCTTCCAAATGATTACAAGTGTGATGGTGACTATGACTGCACTGATAGGTCTGATGAGTTGAACTGCTGTAAGTAGGGACAGTCAGTCATGTAGGATTTGATAAATTTTTTTCCCACTTTTTGGTTTGTTTTTTCCCGAGATATTACTCTACCATTACATTTGATTTTATTTCTACTACAATTAGAAAAATTCCACAGCTACTTTGTTAATTTTGTTTGCCAAAGGTTATGTGCTGGTTAGCAGATGACAATGCTAATAATTTCAAAACCATGCATTGTTTTAATTTAAAAGATATGGCAAAATTTTCTAATTTTTCAAGATTTTGACAGTTTTGTGTGTAGATACCTATATGTGGGTGCATGTGGAGTTTATTTCATTTACGATGTTCTTGCCTGATTTAAAATATATTTAGTTTTTGAAAACATAAAGAAAACACTTTGTTTTATCATTATTGTGCTATCACTATTGCAGTGAATATCCCCTGTGAGCCCAATGAGAGACAGTGCAGAAACGGCAAGTGTATCCTCAAGATCTGGATATGTGATGGTGACAACGACTGTGGCGATGGCTCTGATGAACAGAATTGTCGTAAGTATTCAACAACACTTGGTGGCAAAATGGTGATGTGGCCAGATTCCTTTATTTTATAATTTCCACACATGCCCACTTGTTGTAACTTAAGCAACATTTGACTGACATTTACAGACACAAGTGTTAGACAGGTCTGTTAGCTGTCCCATGTGCCCTTCTATAGAAACACAAAGTCCAAATATATGAAAATAGCATTCACCATTGGCACAATTAATGTATATCAAACTGGCCCTTTATTGTCAAAAACCAATATGCTTGCAAAAAAGTTTGAAAGGAAAAAAAGAACAGAGGTAACCTTACACACATCTCTTTATTTTGTCTTGCAGCAACTGCGCCCCCTGGTGCCCCATGCCGTGCAGATGAGTATCGATGTGTAGACGGCAACCAGTGTATCCCACAGAGTTACCAATGCGATGGAGAATTTGACTGCCAGGACAGCTCCGATGAAATTGGCTGCAGTAAGTGTGTGGGAAAATATGCAATATTTCAGACTTGGGGTTAATATTTTCCTTCAACTGTATAGTTACTTACCTAAACAGGAAATTTTTCTGAAATTATCCCTGTGAGTGTAAGAAAAAAAATCTTTGTATGGATGCCTGAGTACAGTATCTAAGACTGTATTCCCATAAACCTGTCATTCTAGCTGGATCTATCTAACTCTGTGGGTCTTTTCCTTAAAGTGTTTTCAGCATAATCAGCTTAATTGTCTGGCATGCCCCCTTGAGTAACTTGGGGATTATAAATAACTATCATTAATTTTCCTCTAGCAGCTTGATTAGGTGTGCGAGACATTTAAGCCGCTGACATTGAAAGCAATTTAGCGAAAATCCTTGGTGAGTTGCATCGATCCAGCTAGTACATTGGGTTTATGGGGACGCTCCCTAAGCTATGAGTACCTTGAGTTTCTGAGTTACATTTCTGATGCTGCTCTTCTGTGTTGCGAAATCTGCATTTTGTTGCAATTGAGTGGAGATTCATTTATTATCCATTTATTTACTTGATACTCGATTTCTACTTTGAGGTAGAAGTGCTCTCAGAAAAAAAAACTGAACTTTAGTATGTGAACTGAAAATTTATAACTCTCTCTCTGAATGATGTTCTTGTGCTAAATTTTATTAATTGATTGATTAACTAGTTTTAAGCAGAGAACGTTTTTTACTTGTTTTTATAACATTGTCTTGTCTTGCAGGAACTGCACCCCCTGGTATTTTGTTTGTGTTTCAGGAATGCATTCAATGACAATTGAACTGACTTTCTCTCTGTTTAAGTGTGTCTCATTCTATCTTTTCTTCTAAATTAAATCTTGCTAGCATTTAATGAAAAACACAATACATATTCTTTTTATAATTTCTCTAATGAGATGGATTTGTGATTTCTCTTTTGCATTTTAAACAAGAATATTATATTTAACAAATTTTAAGAAATGCTCTAGCTCTTGCAAATAATGTCTTTGCATGTATTTTCTCTCCAGGTATGAAAATGTTATTTCTGTCAACAGTAATTACTCACAAAATTTAAACACTCTCCATTTCCGATATTCCATTTTTCCAAGATTTATGTTTTTTATTTGCTTCTAGCTCACAAAAACATACACCCAGACATGAAGCCAACCTGCTTTGTTTTGAAATTGAAATAATCTTTTTCAAATAATCACTATGATCAGCATTTTTGTGCACTTTAGAAATATGATGAAATTTGTTAAATTTTAATGAATTTTTCTACAGATATTTCTATCAACATTCTTGGGCATTTTATAAAATAATAATGATTATTAATTTGTTGAAATTGAATTAAAATTTTGTGAGAAATTACTGAAACTCTGATCCCTTTCTTTGCAGCCTCTCCCACTGTAACCATTCCCCCACGACCCATGATCATGGTGAACATTGGGGAAACTATCACCATTACTTGTACCGCCATTGGTGTCCCTGTCCCCCTCATAACATGGCGTCTCAACTGGGGGCATGTCCCCAAACCACCAAGAGCGACGCAGACCTCAGAAAATGGTCGCGGTGTTCTGGTTATTCGTAACGCTATTGAGACTGATGCTGGTGCTTACACCTGTGAAGCTCTCAATAACAAAGGCAGTATTTTTGCTCAGCCTGATGCCATTGTGGTTGTGAAACGTAAGTAGTAAAAGAAAAGTTATTAATGCCTGGTCAAATGGTCATGGTATGTGTAATTTTGAAAAAACAGTTTGATGATTATTTTTCTATGTGTTGAATTCATAAAAGCTTTAAAAGAAAAGGGTAAAAAAATTATAATAGGAAAGAAACTTCGTTTTCATTAGAATAACAGAAAAAAAGAAGTTACCAGTTATTATCAACCCAAAACACAATTCTAAAAAGTATGAAGTTCTGAGAGAGAAGATATATATTTTCCAATTAAATCCTAAGTCATTCACTTGCTTCCATATTAACAATTGGTTCCATTCCAGCCTCCCCGCCTCTGTGCTCTGCACCATTTTTCAACTCTGATGCCAAGAACGTCAGGGACTGCATACGGTGCTTCTGTTTTGGTATTACCGACCAGTGCACAAGTAGTAATCTACACCTGTCACAGGTACTTTATGTTTGTTGATTATGGAATTTTCTGTTCCAGCATTCATGACAATAATACAAAATAATGATAGTAATTTTAATAAAAGTTAATTTGAATGTAAGGATTATATATTGGTGTCACTTTTTGCAAGCAGCATCCCAAAAGCACCATTCATATTATTTCAAAACTGCAAATTTGTATTCCCAAAAACAAAGATATTATTATAATGATATAAAATACATAAATGAAATTCGGAGATTTTAAAAAATATGTCAGTGTTAACTAAAAATAGCAAAGGCAAAATTCAATTGCTCAAAAACCTCGGAGCAATCTCTTAATGATTTTCTCTTCATTTTTCAGCTATTCATGGGTAACACAATAGAGCTAGTCAGTAAAGACACCAGAGCCCCACAGCCCAATAACCTGGTCCAGTACCTACCCACACAGAGAGAGTTTGTGATTCAGGACTTCAACAGGAGAGTGCGACCCTCATCAGGGTTGTATTATTTTGACATGCCCAGACAGTTCTTAGGGAATAGGGTAAGATAAAGTCATATAATGGTAGTGCTCAGATTCAGAGATCTTTTCTGACAGTCTTTCAAATTATCTTTGTTGATCCATCCTCCATTTGTGACTGTCTCCCGACAGTACCCATCAATGTTAACTTGAAAATCTGACTGTCTTCTGAAAGACCCTGAAGATGGCCTCAGTCAGCCCCTGGTATACTGGCGATCCAGTTACACAGCTTCAAAGATTTAGAAGTTCACTTGAAAACCTCTGAAAATCACCACTGATATTTTTCATCAGTCACTATCAGAGAGATGATTATAGTGATATAGAGCAGAATTGCTCTTGATTATGTGTTTATGTCAATAGCTTTTAATTTGGTTTGATTTATACTGTTGGACTCCTTTTACTTTTGGTTTCTTTCCTCTTTTGTATGCAAAAGAATGTTACGAAAATTGCTGGGCTTAATATTCAAAATTATGATTTATTTTTTCTCAGATCACAAGTTATGGTGGTAACTTGCAGTACACAGTCCAGTACCAGACTCCTACAGGCACTCAGAATAGACTGGCCACTGCTGATGTTATCATGAAGGTAGATGGCGCTACTTCCTGTGCTTGTTTCTTCACAGTTGCCATGTTTGGTATTTAATGATCAGTGTTGAAATTTAAAATTTATAATTAGCAAATAGTATTCATTAACATACAGTTATTTAATGAATTAGTCAAATGGTACTATTTTTTCCATATAATTACTTTTTACAAGATTAGGTGTTGTCTTTGATATTCACGCAAGCACCAAAGACATGTAAATCCATGTTTCATGTGTCCTTGACATTCGCATTGACCTTGACATTGACACTTTGTATTCTCCAAGATTGATTTATGTTGAACTGTGATTTTTATAGGGTAATGGAATAACACTGTATCACAGGAGGCAGACGCAGCCAAGGCCAGGCTTGACAGAGAGCATCAGTGTCCCCCTTGTGGAGGTAAGGGTCTCTCGTTGAATGACTTTTAGATTTAAAGGAAAAAGAGCATACATATTCTCATTTGATTAAATATCGTTGATAATGGTTTATAGTATTAAAGCGAGATTTTTAAGTGCGTTATGTTATGCTCTTTTTTTCTGAGCTCACTGTATAAGATCTGAAGAAGAAGTCTGTTGGGATGTGATGATTAAATAAAATAAAAAGGGCAGACAAACTAACATGCCATTACAACTTTTCAGCAGTCAGAACAAATCATTTTGACAGTTAATGCAGTGATCACAAAAGTATACAGTATTCAACATCTGAAAACTCAATTCACGAAATGTTAAAATTAAATGTTACATCCACTATTTCAGAGTGCATGGACAACTTCTGAAACCCCTCGTCGTGGTGACCAGACAGTTCCTTCTCCTGCCTCCAGGGCAGACATCATGACAGTGCTACAGAACCTGGAGTATATGATGATAAGGGGCAGCTATGACACCTTCCAGACTGAAGTCAGGTCAGTGTATGAAAGTTATGTTTTTGTGTTGTCTGTGGCAGAAATTATGGTCCAGTTGTTAGCTGTCATGGTAAAATGAATGATAATAACTAATTTATTAGTTATTCATAACTTATAATGACACAAAAAAATAAAAATAAACACTATGAAATGATATGAAGTGAAAATTCAAGCAACGATGTTAGAACATTCCCTTGTTAATGAAAAAGAATTACTTGACAAGTTTCTGTAAGAATACAAGTTTTTAATCAAATTTTTTTCCTTCCTCCAGGCTGGGCAATGTGTTCCTGGACACTGCAGTGACCACGGATACTGGACGTGGCCGCGCCTTCTTGGTGGAAGAGTGCGCCTGTCCTACTGGGTATACTGGGACTTCCTGTGAGGTACGACCAGAAAAGACAATGGTCAAATGGCAGGAAATTTATTGCTTGGCCAAGAAAATGTTGTGAATTTGTTAATTACTGGTCGCTGTTTTGTTTTGGTACATTTTTTTAGCAAAGATTGCAATCAATACTAAAAAAAGGCAAAATTTGTGTTAATTCCTACAATTTTTCCAACCCTGGAATTTTCACATTATCCAAACTGATATGCTGATGTTATTTCAGCAATGTGCCCAAGGTTTCCGCCGTGTGCCATCTGGGAACCGCTACCTGGGCCAGTGTGTGGGATGTAACTGTAATGGTCACTCCAACCAGTGTGACTCTGATAGGGGAGTCTGTATTGTAAGTATATGTGCCCTGTTGTTCTTGGAATACAGTTTACTTGCCTCTGTCATTATCGACAGATTATTTTGAAATAATCTTGATATTAACAGTTCAAGTCAGTTTAATAGGGGTGGTTTTAATTTCTGTGTATCTTTTCTCCAAAAGGATTCTGAAAGATTGTTATAAAGCAACTCCCATGCAGACTTTTGAAATATTAATAATAAACCCAAAAATTACTTCTACAATATATTTTCTCACCAGAACTGTCAACACAACACAGAGGGAAACAACTGTGAGAGGTGTAAGCCAGGTTTCTATGGAGATGCTAGGAGAGGGACACCTGGGGACTGCTTGGTGTGTCCTTGTCCGCTAACTGACCCCAGAAACCCGTAAGTATAATCAATATTTGTACTTTGTAGTGAAAGTTAAAGGTGAGTGAATTAAATAGTGAGTCTATTCTGGACCATTCTAGTAAAAATATAAAGCCATGGTATTTGGAGAGTCATTTTAAGTTAAGAAAAAAGAAAAATGATAATAATGATTAGTAGTACTGTAACAAACAACATTTACATGTACTTTTGTGTCTCTTGACTGTTTTTTTTTTCTTTTTTTTTTTCGTTTTTGTAAATGAAAAAAATAGACCACATAGTTCTATTTATTGATTAAATGGAGATAAAAGTAGGCCTAGGTTGACAGCCTTTAATAGCCAGGTTAACTGTCAGTGACCCTCAAGGACAGTTTATGGTCATAATCAGGTACTGGTGTAAAGGACCTATTTTTAGGATAATTGAGGGGGAAATAGTACTAATTAGTGCCCTTGATTTGCTGTATGTTTCATCCAGACTGTTAACTGCCCATTGACCCCTTATTTGCTGTCAAGTTGTTTATGACTCTGATTTACTTTAAGCTATTATGTGACCAGGCGTGCTTCTTGGTTTAAAGACATTGAGTAAAGCATTTACATGTAGCACTTTGAAGCAACTTTAGGGAAGGGCTAGTGTCTTTTGTTTGCTACATTTTCACATGTTAGCAGTGCTAGAAGAAGTTAGATCAGATCTGTTTTGGCAGTTGTGAATCAATTTCTATAGAGCTTGCTTTATAAGTTTTTTTCTTGTCTGTTTCAGCAATTCCAGAGAATGTTATGTAGAGGGAGATGGACAGGTGAGATGTCGCAGCTGCCCCACGGGATACCAGGGCAGATTGTGCCGTGACTGTGCCCCAGGCTACCAACGCAGAGGAAGTCGCTGTGTCGCAATTACTGGTAGGTACACTCTAGGTGACAGAATCTGGTATTGGAACATGTCATGTTGTTAACTATTAATAATTTAAAGACTGTTAATTATTTAACTCTATATATAGAAAATATTATTTATAATTTAAAAAAAGGTAAATGTCCATGAACCATTCAATGTATTGTAAAAGTTAACAAACTTGTTTAGTGCTTATCTTTCACTAAGTTTTGCACTATTTTCTCCATTTTTATAATAATAATAATATAATAATATATTTATTTATAATAATAATAATATATTTATTTCAAGTCTAAAATCCATAAAATGTTCAATAGACTGTACAACATAAAGAAGTTTATAGATAAAAACGGTTAAGATATATTTTATATAAATAAGAGCTAAACTAACTTAATTGTAATAAACAGTAATTAAAAGTAAAAAATCCAAGGTTTCTTTAAAATTGTAAAATTTAAGATTCATGAATATGAGATAAATTTTTTTTGAAAAGCTGCTTGTTTTAATTTATTTATGTATTTATTTATATTTTCTACTTAAGTGACATGTAATGCAGCTGGCAGTCGCTTACCACAACCAGATGGACGAGGACAATGTTTGTGTAAGGTGGGTGTTTGTGTCAGGTCTCTGGTAGGTTATCTTGTTCGGTGGTTGGTTAAATAACACTAATTGCGTCATGTTGGTGCACAAGGCAATCTGCGTACACCATTATTTTAGTGTTTTTATTCTTTCCTTTAACAAGTAATACACCATGATGCAAACTTTGCATTGGTATAAGTTTGTGGGCTAGTTAAAGCTTTGACACTGCACATAGAATCAAATGGTCTGTTTGACATGTCACACAAAGAGGGTGAAACCACAACAAAACATCTGTCCCATGATGTAAAATTTTGAATGATGATATAAATGACATACAAATACAAAATTACATAATTAAAAGCTTTATAATATAGATTGGTCTTCCCTTGTTGAACTTTGTTATGAATAGCAAATGATCCTTTTTGGCTTATATTTTCAATCACTCAGGAGAACACAGAGGGGCCATACTGTGACAGGTGCAAGGCCAACACGTTTTTCCTATCAGAGAACAATCCATACGGCTGTATATCCTGCTTCTGTAGTGCAGTCACCAGAGTATGTGACAGTACAACATGGAACAGGGCCCAGGTTGGTACACATAGGATCTCGTGTCAGTTTGGGACAGTAACACTGGTCATCTGCCAGATGCCAGTTAAACTGTGGCCAGGCCAGTGGATTTTGTAAATTTGTTCAATTTCTGGTCACTGTTTATCTCCTTTGGATGATTTCATAATTGAATGTTTTTAAATTGGTCTAAAATTTTGGACCAAATGTAAAGTCTACTAAATCGTTATGTGTCCAATTAAATAAAACATTTCTCTTGTTTGATAACAAGAAAAATAGGGCTGAAACTGAAGTAGAACAAAATTTTTTCTGTATTAATTTTGTTTATTATAAATGAACTACAATTTTAGATATGTGTTTTGTAAGAAAGGCATTTCAAATGGAATTATATGTCCCCGATTGTGTTATTTTCCAGATCAGTGCTGTATTTTCTACCTTTGACACCCAAGGATTTAAACTGACCACTGAGAGGAATGACCAGCAGTATGACCAGGGGATGGTAGTGGACACTGCCAGTCGGTCACTGGTCTATAGGAACCTGCTCAGCCTGCCTCAGGACACTTACTACTGGTCTCTGCCACAGAAATTCCTTGGGGACAGGGTGAGTTATATGGGTTTGTTATTGGTGCTATTATATAATGTTTTTTGTATTGATATTGTATGCATTTTATCATACTAAGTCTGATAAGAATTTTGATATCTTTATAGTACAGACCTTTTGATGAATGCAATGTTTGACTTTTTATGTACAGACTCAGATCTATCTTTTATTATTGCCATGGTCTCAATAACTGTCTAACATAAAAGTAGCAACAAATCTCAAGCAGTGAAAATGCCATCGAAACAACTTCACTGTTCCTTATATTAGATGCTACAAGGTAAAAAACCAATGCATATAAAAATTGTTATTCTAGGTGACGGCCTATGGTGGTAACTTGAGGTTCACCATCTCCTTCTCTGACCTTGGAGATGCTCCCACCACTGAGCCTGATGTCATCATTGTGGTAAGTGATAGTGCTTCAATATTACTTATACCATGAGAACAGGAGAGACAGAATTGGTATATCTTGCATACACACAAAACTTCTTAAAACTTTATTATTTCCAGGGAAATAACATCACACATATCTGTTTAAAAGGTATGACATCATACGCAACTTTATTAAGTTTAAGGAATATGACATCACTTACTTATATGCAAGATAATGACATCATACATTTGTTTTAGGGCTGTGACATTGTATTAATTTATTTCAGGGTAATGACATGACACATTTAGTTAAGAATGATGACATAACANGTTTATCTCCTTTGGATGATTTCATAATTGAATGTTTTTAAATTGGTCTAAAATTTTGGACCAAATGTAAAGTCTACTAAATCGTTATGTGTCCAATTAAATAAAACATTTCTCTTGTTTGATAACAAGAAAAATAGGGCTGAAACTGAAGTAGAACAAAATTTTTTCTGTATTAATTTTGTTTATTATAAATGAACTACAATTTTAGATATGTGTTTTGTAAGAAAGGCATTTCAAATGGAATTATATGTCCCCGATTGTGTTATTTTCCAGATCAGTGCTGTATTTTCTACCTTTGACACCCAAGGATTTAAACTGACCACTGAGAGGAATGACCAGCAGTATGACCAGGGGATGGTAGTGGACACTGCCAGTCGGTCACTGGTCTATAGGAACCTGCTCAGCCTGCCTCAGGACACTTACTACTGGTCTCTGCCACAGAAATTCCTTGGGGACAGGGTGAGTTATATGGGTTTGTTATTGGTGCTATTATATAATGTTTTTTGTATTGATATTGTATGCATTTTATCATACTAAGTCTGATAAGAATTTTGATATCTTTATAGTACAGACCTTTTGATGAATGCAATGTTTGACTTTTTATGTACAGACTCAGATCTATCTTTTATTATTGCCATGGTCTCAATAACTGTCTAACATAAAAGTAGCAACAAATCTCAAGCAGTGAAAATGCCATCGAAACAACTTCACTGTTCCTTATATTAGATGCTACAAGGTAAAAAACCAATGCATATAAAAATTGTTATTCTAGGTGACGGCCTATGGTGGTAACTTGAGGTTCACCATCTCCTTCTCTGACCTTGGAGATGCTCCCACCACTGAGCCTGATGTCATCATTGTGGTAAGTGATAGTGCTTCAATATTACTTATACCATGAGAACAGGAGAGACAGAATTGGTATATCTTGCATACACACAAAACTTCTTAAAACTTTATTATTTCCAGGGAAATAACATCACACATATCTGTTTAAAAGGTATGACATCATACGCAACTTTATTAAGTTTAAGGAATATGACATCACTTACTTATATGCAAGATAATGACATCATACATTTGTTTTAGGGCTGTGACATTGTATTAATTTATTTCAGGGTAATGACATGACACATTTAGTTAAGAATGATGACATAACACTTATTCATTTCAGGGTAATGACATCACATTGACATACAGACACAGTGACGTCATGTTGTCTGGAACTAAGCAGTCCTTCCAAGTGCCTTTCTATGAGGTAAGTTGTCAGTGGTACATTATGTAATATGGTTAAAATAAGATTGTCCTCTTTATAAATTTTCTCTTAGGACAGGTTTTGTAACTTGCTTAACATTTTTAGATACCCATAAATGTGTCAGAAATTAATCAGTTAAAATCTTGTCTTTCATTTTAATGTTTACTGTAGATGTTGTTGTAATATTATGGAATATGGATATTCCATGTTATTTGGTCTATCAGTTTTGATAAAATTGTGGTTTAGAATGTTGTAGTATTTTAAGAGTTGTAGCCATATTGTTCCAATTTGCAGCAATTCTGGCAGCGTCCTGATGGTTCCCCTGCCAGCAGAGAGTTTATCATGATGGCCCTGTCTGATCTGTCTGCCATCCTCATTAAGGCCTCGTACACTGGGAGAACTCAGGAAACCAGGTGACAGTTTTATCTGCAAATAAACTGCATATTTACATGCAATTGTATAAGTGAGATTGTGAATTTGATGAACTTTTATAAAACAAAAAGAGTATGTATGAAATTCTGTACAGGAATTTAAATTCTGAGGTCAAGTTAATAATTCCATGCTTAATGTTAAAAAAATACAGACTGAAAAAATATAGTTGACAGGTCTACCCAAAAATGGTAGAAAATGACCTCTCTATTTATAGTTGTTGATTGAAGATGCTTCCACAGTAACTCTATGTTGCAGCTGATAAATTTTACTTGCCTATTTAACTTTGAAAGGAGTGACTAAAGAAGGAATGCTAAAAATACAGAGTTTGATGTTACAGTGCCTTCAGAGACAATGGAAATCCTTGAACAAACTTCATGCATACCCATGCTGTATAAATGTTTTATCAATATTGTATTCTTTCTAATTTCCCATATATTTTCAGGTTGCTGGACATCTCCATGGACATAGCAGAGGACCGTAATACTGGCCAGGACAGAGCTCTAGCTGTGGAGATGTGCACCTGTCCTAGAGGGTACAAGGGCTTGTCTTGTGAGGTAAGAATTTCAGCCAATCATATGCTGGAATAGGATGTACACTGGCTCCATCTGTTGAAAAATTACCACCTGCATTTCTTGGTTTGTGCAGGTATTGATATATGAAAGAAGGATATACATTATGTGATCTGTATATAAGATAATTCTGGCCAAAAGAGTGAAAGGTGAATGAAACTGAATGTATAAATTGGAGAAACCAAAAGATAGAGAGAAGGAGGACATGCAGTTAGCCAGTCTCTTATAAGACAAGTTGTCGCACACACACACACACACACACACACACACACACACACTTTACTTTCTTCAAGTTATGGTTTTACTTTAAATTCATGGTAGACTACATCATTTTCTGTTCTAGGACAATGTAAACTGTTATTATATTATCTTGTGTTCTAGGACTGTGTAAACAATTGTATAATCTTATGTTCTAGGACTGTGCCCAGGGCTATACTAGAACCAGAGGTGGTCTGTACCTTGGTCTGTGTGAACCATGTCAATGTAATGGACATTCCAATGATTGTGACCCAGAGAATGGAGTTTGCAGGGTAATACACTATACAGTATCAATACAATAATGACACTTTATAATACAGCAACTTTACAGTAACTAAACAATAATGAGTTAGTTACACCAGTGACATTGCAAACAAAGATACAATTATGATAGCACAGGAACAATGCATGATACATACAGATAGTATTAATTTACTACATAGTAATAATACAGTTACAGTATGGTAAAGTTATAGATATATCATGAAAATTCTGTCACCAAAATGTGCAAAAGTAACTTCCAGATATTGCATGCATAGTATTTGGCATATATGCTGTTTGTATATTTTGTGTGTTTTTGTAATATTGGCTGAGAGATGGTTTTCTTTTTCACATAAACCTGTATTGAATTATATTGTCATCACCCCAGTATGATCTCAGATTATGATTTCTCTTTCTCAGGCTTGTCAACACAACACTGTCGGAGACCAGTGTGAGCGCTGTGCTCCAGGTTACTATGGTGATGCCACTAGAGGGACACCATCTGACTGTCAGCCATGTCCCTGTCCTCTCACCAGATCACCCAACCAGTAGGTTTTGTCAGATATCACAATAAATATACTATCGATAGATATACTCTTGGGGAGTGTTCTTATCATCCTAGAAAACTAGCTGGATCGATCAATCTCCTCAGGGATACTCGCTAAATTGCATTCATTTTAAGTGGCTTAAATGTCTGGCACCCCCCCCTCATAACTGAAAGTATTTGGGTAAAGTCGGGAAAACTAAGTGGGCCATGATGTGGTTTGTGTAGCTTTATGAGGGGGTGTGCCAGACAATTAAGCTGATTACATATGTCTGCGCCTTAGCGAGAATACCCACTGAGATAAATCGATCCTGTTACTACGATAAAATTATGGGAACACAGTCTTGAAGTGCTCTCTTGTTGCCCATAAGTTTGAAACATTCGACTTTTGACAGTGTTCTATTTCTCGAGATTGATCATATGCACCATCATAACACATATTTAATGTCATAATTCTGAATCATGTTTCAAAATATTTAAATTGTCTGTTTCCCAGGTTCAGCCCCACATGTGTCCTGTCCTCAGACAACCAGGTGACCTGTACACAGTGTCCAACTGGCTACACAGGAAGGAGGTGTGAAAGGTCAGTGGTGGTGGTCAATTATCACGCGGCCGTTCAGTACATTAGATTTTGCAATTAACCATAATTTTTTAGGAATACATAACTCATTTTCACCATATTATCATGCTTAATTGATGTTTTATATTGTTTGTGTATGTATAATAAAATACACAATATATTTACAATGCAATATGATGCACTGCAAAACAAACATTACAATACAATGCAATAGAAACAAAATCAACCTTTGACTGTTACAGTATTAGGAGTATTGAAAAATATAGTGTTTGTCTAGTATTATGTAAACATAATGGTTTGATATGATTAAAGAGGATAATTTTGATGTGTCCTACTATTAGTTTTCTACTTTTATGTTACATTGTATTTTAAACTTTATTTCAAGATGTGCCTCTGGATTTACTGGAAATCCACTCCAACTTGGGAGCCGCTGTATACCCATCAGTAAGTAAATAACGATGATGAATTTAAGGCTTTATAATATGAAAGTAAATTAGATGATGAATGGTAACAGAATCTGTTATACTTATATATTTGTTATGTGAATTCCAGGTATCTTGCCTGGCAAATTGTAATGTCTCATGAATTTGGCAAAAATTTATGGTATTTGTTACATGAACTCTGCATGGCAAATTGTAACTGTAACAACTGATTATAGCAAATACAGATAAAATAATTTTTCAGCCACAACCCCATTCTTCTGTGTTTGTTTTATCAAGGCGGTACCTTGCCAGGCATGATGTTGTAACTGAAACAACTGATATTGTAAATACTGTCATTGTTATTTCAGCCACTCCCCCAGCCCCACTGTGTCAGTGTGATCAAGGTGGCACCATGCCAGGCATGATGGAGAGATGTGATTCTGTTACCAAACAGTGCACTTGCAGGGTTAGTTTTTTAACAAGAGAGAAAAAAGATAAAAGAAAGAGAGAAAAAAGGAAAAAATATAATAAGAACATTAAATAAGACAGAAAGAAAAATAGTCATACATGAATAATGAAAGTTATACTTTGGTAATTAAATGAATGGGTTAAAGTACCAAACAAACTGATATGAATTAGCTAACTTACACAGTAAATTTGCATTGTATTGCAACAGGGATAAACTTGATATATTATTTTGATTATTTAATCTGTTTATTTGCATTTACTTTTAATTAACCCCCCTTCCCCCAGAAGGAAAATGGGTATGATTCACCATAAATAGACACAGAAATAGAGAGAACAGGTTGACAATTTTATTTTTTGAAATAAATTTTCCAGGAAAATGCTATGGGCCGGGACTGTGATCGCTGTAAACCAGGCACCTTCTACATGGCTCCTAGCAATCCTGATGGCTGTCTGTCCTGCTTCTGTAGTGGGATTACCAACCAGTGCAGGAGTTCTAGATACTATCTGGACCAAGTGAGTGGAACACACACACACACACACACACACACACACACACACAGGGAGAGAGAGATGTGTTTATGTGTGTGAGAGAGATGAAGAGATCGAGAGAGAGAGGAGAGAGGTGAGCAGCTGTGTGTGTGTGTGTGTGTGTGTGTGTGTG